TTATTTTCAGATCAAACTGTGAATAATGTATGTGTATTTTATAGGGTTGGGTATCGCCAAAAGTTTCATATTGCGATACATTGTGTTATGTGTTGGTGTATTGCAATACAGATTGCAATATATTGTGAAAGTGTGAAACATGTTTTAGCTCTTTCAGCACCAGTCAACCAGAGGCTTTTACTGCCATGACACCGACTTCCCAGAGACTCTGAGGTCATAGATGAGGCCTATGTTTATCAAGGAAAATATCAGCTTCTAAAACATGCTTCATACACTCCGAAACATCGTGTTGTCCACAATAAAGAAGTTGACATCCATGTATCTTGCTTTTCGTATTCCTAGACTAGTCGTCGAGAGAGGTATGAATCGTCATCCGGCTTGCCGGAATGACACGAGTAGTTACGAATGTCTGCTATAAGGCTCGTGATTGGTCAAAATCATGCATGTGAGCTAAGGCAACCAATATTATTACAGCAATGGATACCGTCCTCGTAAACGTAAACTTTAGATTTAGACGAAAGTTTTGGGTAAAATCATTCTATTCTGAACAGTTAACGCACCACCTTAAGGAACTTAACTGTCGCATTGTGCTTGGTTATGACCTGTGACAACAAGAGTCATCAGAAGATGACATATCCCTCCGGACCCCACATCTTTGATAAAACAAATCATCTGACAGTTACTTAAAGTCCAGCTTGATTTTCGACTAAGTGCAAATCATTTCCATGGAAATCATGAAAAACATAAATGACAAAAATCTGCAAATAGCAAAAGGTACCACTTTAGGATCTGTTTGATATATCTACCAAGTTTTGTTGAAAAATATTAGACGGTTCTTGAGTTATGTTCTGGAAACGAAGCCCACCCCTCACTTTTGTGACTAAGTCCAAATCGTTTCCATGGAAACCGGGAATGCCTAAAATCTGCAAATAGTAAAAGGCACCAATTCAAGTTCTGTTTGATATATCTACCAAGTTTTGTTGAAAAATATTGAACGGTTTTTGAGTTATGCTCCGGAAACGAAGCCCACCCCTCTTTAAGACTAAGTCCAAAACGTTTCCATGGAAACCGAGAAAAATAAAAATGACAATAATCTGTAAATAGCAAAAGGCACCACCTTAGGTTATGTTTGACATATCTACCAAGTTTTGTTGAAATATATTGAACGGTCTTTGAGTTATGCTCCGGAAACAAAATGATTACGGACGGACGGACAGACAGACGGAAGAGGCGACGACTATATCTCCCCTCATTACATGCAGGAGTGATAAAAATGCTTCAAGCATATATTTTAACATTAAATATTGTGTAGGTGTGAAGTTCGAGGCGACGAAAGCCGAAATGTCATATGGCTTACATTTCATGATCGCACTCAAAAAGATGGAAAATAGTAACTTATGACGTACGTTTGACAACTTTTATGAGTACTGTTCTTGATTTTAATCTTTATTTTATTCAATTTGTTTAATTATTTCCTCGAAACATCGTGACTTTGTCCTGGACAACTTTGATGTGGACCCGTTGCCGAATCGCTTTTTGTTTTCAACAACATTGCGAAAAATAATTTATAATTCTGTTGATAATATATGTTCATTTGAAATGTAACAAGAAGACAAAGTCATCAATATCCCCCGCAATGGCAAAATACTCTTCATGATTATGTCTACGAGTTGGGATTATGTCAAATATTTAGGTGTGTATATAGAAAAGTGGAAGGAGAGTATTGAAAGGTTTTTAAAGTTCTGCTCCAGAATGGAACACTATCACCAATTTCAATCTGTCAAATTGTTGCCATGGAAATGCCAAAAATATTTTATTCAGAAATCCAAAACTACCAAAAGGCACCAGTACACCACCAGACCAATCTACCGTATACCCGGGAAATTTTCGAGGTATCTAATTTTCGAGGTTTTCGAGGTTAGAAACGCAACCTCGAAAATATTATATCCATGAATTTTTCCAAACTTCAAACCTTTGGGTTAGATTTCCTATCGATAAGCATTTCAACTGCTGGCAACCAATGACTTCCTGACATGCGCATTAACTCTTTAATGCCTGTCTACAACTAATCTTAACGTTCGGTTCTGTTTTAGTCAAACTTGTTGCCACAGAAACGCCAAAAATATTTTAATCAGAATTCCAAAACTACCAAAAGGCACCTGTACTCCACCAGATCTATCTATGTGCTAAGTTTGGTGAAGAAAAAGCGAACGGTTTTAGAGTTCTGCTCCGCGGAAAAGAGCACTACCACTAATTTCATTCTAAGTCGAACTTGTTGCCATGGAAACGCCAAAAATATTTTATTCAGAATTCCAAAACTACCAAAAGGGACCAGTACTCCACCAGATCTATCTATGTGCCAACTTTGGTGAAGAAATATTGAACGGTTTTAGAGTTCTGCTCTGGAAAAGAACACTACCACTAATTTCATTCTAAGTCGAACTTGTTGCCATGGAAACACCAAAAAGTTTTATTCAGAATTCAAAACTACCAAAAGGCACCAGTACTCCACCAGATCTATCTATGTGCCAAGTTTGTTGAAGAAATATTGAACGGTTTTAGAGTTCTGCTCCGGAAAAGACAAATGTGCACGCGACGGGCCTTTTACGACGCGACGCACTTGACGGACGGAGTCCATTTTAATACCCCCTGCAAAACGCGTTGCGGGGGATAATAAGTATTTTCAGACATTGTGACATACACATACACACGCATGCACGTCGTCATATGACAATATTTGTCAATATTCTCAAGCACGACATTAAATCCCATATCACCTCACCTCACCTAAAATTATATACCACTTTGATGCACCTACTGCCAGGCCGGTTTACCGGCCTTTCAGTGTCTGGGGACTTGGGACATCTGGGCCAGTTTTCCAGCCTGTGGTGTTGATTGGGTTAACTAAAATAATGAAATTACTGTCTTCCTCTCATTTGAAACAAGAAGACAAAGTCATCAATATCCCCCGCAATGGCAAAATACTCTTCATGATTATGTCTACCAGTTACGATTATGTCAAATATTTAGGTGTGTACATAGAAAAGTGGAAGGAGAGTTTTGAAAACCACCAGATCCATGTATGTGCCAAGTTTGGTGAAGAAATATTGAACGGTTTTAGAGTTCTGCTCCGGAAAAGACAAATGTGCACGGACGGACGGACTGACGGACAGAGTCCATTTTAATACCCCCCGCAAAACGCGTTGCGGGGATAACAATGCCACTGGACACTGTCAGGACACAGATGTGATTGACCAATATACATTCTCAAAACAAGTGTAGAAGTGAGCACAGCTCACATACCCCCGGTTCCCACTTTGGGACATGGAAATGACTGATATTGATATATATAATGTGACAAGGATCAGCAGCTCACAAGACTTTCTCTTTGACTCCACTAAACTTTATATACATGTTAGATAATAGTTTTGGCATGTACTGATTAAGGTAATAATTTATGGAAACTAGATTTTTTTGTGTTTTCTGTGGAAACCTGACATACAATTGAACTTGACTGTCTCATGTTGCACACAATGAAGTGGACGTAGATGAAGATTGCTATATTTTAGCACATGGCATATCTGTGGGTCATGATTAACATGTGTATTAAGTTTGGTGAACCTAGCATGTATAGTTTCGATGATATGCCGTGGTCAGGTAACCATCAAATACATTTTGCATGTACCTAGCATGAACCTAGCATGTAAACTTTAAGAGATATGCTCTGGACAAAATAATCGAACACATTTGGCACTAAGTCATGTCTCCTGCGAAACAGCAAAAAATAAAATTCATATCTGGATCTAAACCCCAAAAGGCACATCTAGAGTACCAAGTTTGATGAAGCTAGCATGTATAGTTTGGAAGATCTGCTCCGGACAAGATGACATCCTCATAGTCACAGCCTAAGTCATGTTTCCATGGAAACAGCAAAAAATACAATTCATATCTGGATCTAAACCCCAAAAGGCACATCTACGGATCATGCTTGATATGTGTACCAAGTTTGATGAAGCTAGCATGTATAGTTTGGAAGATCTGCTCCGGACAAGATGACATCCTCACAGTCACAGCCTAAGTCGTGTTTCCATGGAAGCAGCAACAAAACAAAATTCTGAAAAAACTTTAAAATAGCAAAAGGCACATCAATGGGTAATGATTAACATGTGTGTGAAGTTTGGTGAACCTAGCATATAAACTTTAAGAGATATGCTCTGGACAAAATAATCGAACACATTTGGCACTAAGTCGTGTTTCCATGGAAACAGCAAAAAAAATGAATTCTGAAAAAACTTTAAAATAGCAAAAGACACACCAATGGGTAATGATTAACATGTGTGTGAAGTTTGGTGAACCTAGCATGTAAATCTTAAGAGATATGCTCCGGACAAACTTTCCGGACGGACGGACGGACAGACAGACAGACAGACAGACGGACGGACGGACAGAATGAAAGCTATATACCCCCGTTACTTGGTAGCGGGGGTATAATTATTAATATATAATGATATAAAGGAAATACAAATCTTATTAGTATTTATAACTACATCACGGAAATTGCCGATCGTATCGGGCAAACCGGTTTGCGAAAAGTGTACTGCAATATATCGAATTGTGAAGTTCAAATTGAGATATACCGGTTAACAGGTATTATCGCCCAACCCAAGTACTTTATCAAGTTTTTGTCCAGCTTATATTTGCTAAAGAACACTTATTACTGTTGTTGTTCAATATCATCATTACCAAACATTTTGAAAGAAAATAAATTCATAGGCAAGCACTTCAGGCACCATGAACTTAACATGCCAATAACATAAGGAAATTTGTTTCTGAAATTGTTTTCAAAACCTTGTGAAATCAAAAGTGAAGTCTTTACAACAAATTCCTCGGGGCACTGAGGCCCAATGGTTAAAGCATTTGTGTGTCACACTACTTCATGTTCAATGGAAGAAACTTTGAATTTAAGAGAAATAAAAAAGATTGTATGAAAATAATTTAACCTTGTTTAGCGCTGCTCTCATAGCTTCTTGCCATCCATTCTGCATCGAAAACCTACAATGTGAAAATATTTGTCCCATTAACTCACGCTGGAAGAAACCAAGTCCCTATCCATTAATTCTGAGGGAAACTATGAAAAGAAAATCAGGACAGGTGTCATGCTTTAATAATTTACACTGCAATTAGATTTGATACCGATCAGAATAGCCCTTATTAACAGACACTGAAATAATAAACTTGCATTAAACTCCAAACAGGATAAATATATTTGCATGTCAGCATGGGTGTTCTGTAATCAAATCAGAGAAGATAATTAAAAATGTTGACCAACACAAAACAAAAGTTTTATGCATTCCATAGAAACATGATAACAAGTATCTCATACCAGTCATGTTCATTAATAAATATATTTGCATGTCAGCATGGGTGTTCTGTAATCAAATCAGAGAAGATAATTAAAAATGTTGACCAACACAAAACAAAAAATTACGCATTCCATAAAAACATGATAACAAGTATCTCATACCAGTCATGTTCATTAATAAATATATTTGCATGTCAGCATGGGTGTTCTGTAATCAAATCAGAGAAGATAATTAAAAATGTTGACCAACACAAAACAAAAAATTACGCATTCCATAAAAACATGATAACAAGTATCTCATACCAGTCATGTTCATTAATTCCAGGATGTAATTCCTGTCTGAGTCCAAAAGGTATTATTTGATCTCAATCACTTCAAGATATCTATCTGGCCTTTTCAACAGATCCAGGCAATGAAGACTTTGGATATAAGAGTAAACAGTTGTCATATGTATACTACATAAATATGCAAACCACATTTTTCCAAATGATATATCTATACTATCATTTTGTTACATTTATTATTTAATGATAAACAGTCAGCAAAAAGAAGATGACACTGTGAGGTAAAACATCGTTCACATCAGTTGAATAATTCTGTCATAGCACTTAACCATTCACAAGTACTTTTAAAGATGTGTTGTGATGCCAGGATGTGTATGAATATAACTGGCACAAGGTGGTTGAAAATGTTCAGGTGAGCTTAAAAATGATTAATTAAACACATGTTATAGATATATAATCTTGATATAATCTAGGTTTTGAAGAAGTCTATAGATTGAGTGCCAAAGGATAGATGGATGGAGAGAGAAAACCAAGCCTTAGATTGGTAAAGAAAACATTTAGTCCTCTAGTGGTGGGAAGATATAACCTGAATACAAACATTCTTCAATTAACTGATCAATTAATAAATTAGTGCTACAGAGTATTGACCTTATGCAGCGTTTAAAATTCCTGTCTGCCCGACCATCCGGAACGGTCTATTTTCATCCCGCACGGTCAAATTTCAAAAGTAGCCTGTCCGGTGGTGTGGTAGATGTTTTTACCCCTAACAGTATATATTTCATAATATCAGACAGGTTCTCTTGTTGTCAGTTTGAGGTGTTTAAGGTATTATGATAATTATGTTAAACTATTTACGATTGGACAGTTCATTCTACAATAACCAATCACAACACATGTACTTCCAGTTTACCTAAACTCTGTGCATTGCCTGTTAGTGCAATGCACTTCATTGCGATGCCTACAAACAGTAAAGTATTCAGAAACCTGATTTTTTTTTGGGGTGGGGGTTCATTATTGAAAACCGGACAGGCAAGTTTGTATCCGGACTGGTAATTTTTCAAAGTTACCAGTTCGGCTGTCTGGCTTGGAATTTTAGGAATTTTAAACACTGCCTTATGATATGTATTAATTAAATCCCCCTAACCAATCTGTTACTAATCTGTACTATCACTCGCTAGCACCAAGAATTAACATGATAGTTTACACGTCTATGTTAAAAATTTATACTACAAAAAAGAAGAAGAAGGGAACACCATAACATTTGATAGTCATATATAAACTGAAATGTGGTGAGGTCATTTATACTCTAAGGTAAATGCAACTTTTTGTGTGCTTAATGGGCACTTTAAACGACATGTTGGAACATGCAGTGAAGCAACTGATTCAATATTCATTGAGTTTGAGTGAAATGAAAACATTGTCAAAAACAGCAAAAAACAAGGGTGCTGAAACACACCAGCACCATGTTTTATTCAAAAGCCCGAACACAACAGCCTAGTGCATGTTGAAGACAGACTTCCCATGCATTTTGTGGCAATGTTTACTTTAAAAGAAACTACAGACAGTATTGAAGCCTCACATCTTCTTCACCATGCCACAGCGCAAACCATTAAGCGCCCGCAACAGAAGCAGTACCATTGCATGGTTACAGGATGGTGAATCCATAAGAAGTGCTGCTCTCTGTCTTCAGGTGTCTCCCTCTGTCATTCACAGACTGAGGGACAGGTTCCAGGCCACTGGTAGAGTAAAGGACAGACCTTGCTCTGGAATACCCAGAAAAGCATCAAGGGCAGATGACCGATATGTTATGGTCCAAGCCCTTTGGAACCCATTCACAACTGCCTGTGTCCAGTTGCCACAAGCTGCATGGAAAGTCTGTCTTCCACATGCACTCTGCTGTTGTGTTTGGGCGAGTTGAATCAAACATGGTGCTGGTGTGTTTCAGCATCCTTGTTTTTTGCTACCTGTTTCATTTCACTCAAACTCAACGAATATTGAATCAGTTGCTTCACTGCATGTTCCAACATGTCGTTTAAAGCGCCTTTTAAGCACACAAAAAGTTGCATTTTTACCTTAGAGTATAGATGACCTCACTACGTTTCAGTTTATATACGACTATTAAATTTTAGGGTGTTTTCTTATTTTTTGTTTGTAGTATATTTACAGAAAACAGTAGTGTTGATGGTGAACATAGTGTGATGTAACTCATCAGTGTCACTGGATACCTTCAGTTCAGCGAAGATAAAATAATGTAGTTCAAATATCACAATTAAAGAAAAGGCACCAGTTCACCACTAGATTTATTTGTACAGCAAGTTTCTCTTATAAATATTCAACGGTTTATCATGCTTGAACACCAAGAGTTATAGAACTAGGGGAAATGGTTAACCATTACAGAAAATCAGAGGTTTCTTTGTACATTACCTGAATGATGTCCTTGTCTCCTTCATAAACCACAAACTTCACAGTCTTTAGTGATGAAGTTGTGGTTTCATTGAAGAACCATTCTACAACTGTGAACATTACGTTAGCAACTTTTTCAACCGGATACTTCAATGTTCCAGTTCCAAGAACAGGAAAAGCAATGGACTCCACTCCAAGCTTACTTGCCTCATGTAAACACAGGTAAATGAATTTGTACATCACCTGAAAAATACAAACACCATCCATTTATCTCAAAAGTCACAAAACATGAATACACAAAGCTCTTCGTAACAAAGGCTAACATTCAATGCTGGGCACAAGCATGTGATGGTTTAGCTTTGCTTCACGGCAGACAAAGCATAATGAACAATGCAAGCTCAAAGTTTCTTTTGACTTTTTAGACATAAAAGACCTGGAGATGCCCATAAAACAATATGACCAAACTTGGCATACATCATTCCAAGGTTTAGGTGTCAGTTTGTAGTACCACTGCATTATCTGTGGCGGAACCTCTGTGACAGAGGTCCTGCAAGGTCATTAAAAGTTGTACAAAGTATTTTCCAGTCTGTCATGGTCATGTATAAACTTATGGCTTAAAATACAAAGAACAAATGTCAAACAATAGTGGTCACTGTTTATTATTTAAAAGGATACAGTATCTCTATTACAACGTGCCATATATCCTGTGACCCTCATTAACCTGTTGACATACTTATTTCAACAGAAATCATTTTCACTTTCAACTATCCATAACCAATTGAGATTCGTATTTGAACAGAAATCTTTTCCACTGTCAACTATCCATATCTAGTTGAGACACTTATATATGCATGCACAGACAGCTGATGTTCAATCCCTCTTCCAGATACATAACCCCTATTACATCAGTGCCAGCATATACCTTGGGTTAACTGTGGCTTCTGACACTGTGCAATACAAAATACAGTTAAACCGTGTTGTGTCGAACCGTCAGGACCAAGGCAACAGTTCGACTTATCAGACTGTTCAACACATCCGTCAGCATAGAAATAATGATAAATATAAGGAATTGGCAGGGACCGAGAGATGAGGTTGACAGAAATGATCATTTCATCTCAAACGAGCTCGGGACATCGGGGTTCGACTGTATAAGAAAATTTAACTCCAAGATGCCCATCAGACAAAGGGTCTGTTTTTGGAGTAATGCCAAAGACATATGCAAAATATGTGTATAAATTCCCTAGGAATTACTGTCATATCTGTACCCTTTTCCCCCCTATAACATAATCAACTGATTCAAAGCAGCTCTGGCCAGAGGTATGGTTGCAGACGGTGATACCTATGATGTACTTTCTGGTTCTGATGATTTCACTTTCAGTCTATTTAACATCATTCCAATGACTAATGAGCCTTAACACTTTCTGTCGTCCTATAACTAGTAGATTCAGAAAGTCTAGATTGCCAAACCCTTGATAAGGACAGGATTCCTGCATTGTGTATGTACTGTCTGTCCGAAAGCAGTAGACTGTTTCTTAGCTACAAAGTCTGGTAAGGTCCTGATGGGAATGGAACTGGACTTGATCAAGTTTGGAAAAGTGGAGAGCATGAAGTTCAGAGAAAATGGCCTGGGCGGCCATAGCCAATAGGAAAGACGTTTTATCTGCATCATCTTTGAGATAATAACTAGCAAGAAGATGGGGGAAATGTAGGCTGTCCTATATGATGCATGATCTAATCATGACTGGTGTCTGTATAATCACCCAATGTAGGCTGTCGACATAATTGAAGACATTGGGTTTTATGGGATACTGCGTTAACAAGATTTTGAAATGTGGTCAAAGTGGTGTGGTGACCTTGAAAATAAGGTCAAGGTCACCAAAATCAACTAGCTTCTGCTCTGGAAAAGAGCACAACCATCAATTTCAGTCCAAGTCAAACTTGTTGCCATGGAAACGCCAAATATATTTTATTCAGAATTCCAAAACTACCAAAAGGGACCAGTACACCACCAGATCTATGTATGTGCCAAGTTTGGTGAAGAAATATGGAACGGTTTTAGAGTCCTGCACAGGAAAAGAGCACTACCACCAATTTCAGTCTAAGTCAAACCTGTTGCCATGGAAACGCCAAAAATATTTTATTCAGAATTCCAAAACTACCAAAAGGCACAGTACACCACCAGATCTAGCCATGTGCCAAGTTTGGTGAAGAAATATTGAACGGTTTTAGAGTTCTGCTCTGGAAAAAGCACTACAACCAATTTCAGTCTAAGTCAAACTTGTTGCCATGGAAACGCCAAAAATATTTTATTCAGAATTCCAAAACTACCAAAAGGCACCAGTACACCACCAGATCTATGTATGTGCCAAGTTTTGTGAAGAAATATAGAACGGTTTTAAAGTTCTGCTCCGGAAAAGACAAATGTGCACGGATGCACGGACACACGAACGCACGGATGGAGTCCATTATAAAACGCGTTTTGCGGGGGATAAAAAATATGCACGATATGGTACGAAAAGATTTAGAAGATGTAGCTTATACGCACCACAGCAATGGTGTAGAGTCATTGAATCATTTACGGACGTATTTATCTAAAACATAACAATCTGATTTCAAGCAATGTCCCATCGTTATATTTACGTGATAGCGACACATTGGGGTTTCCCTGGTCGTGTTTTGGGAATCCCGGTTGCTAAGGAAACTTTGATTGGTCAAAATTGTGCATGTGCATGTAAACATGGTGACACAAAAACAAATTACAAGTTTCTTTCAGAAACAAGACTGTGCCTCGACAACTTGTAAACAGTCAAGTAATCAAATTGCTGCACAAATAATAAACGAACTGCTTACTAGTAACACTCGTTGCTCTTGTCATAGTCACACAGGTGGTTCAAACTTACAAACTACAACCAAAGATGTGTATACGTCTTTGCTACAACTGAAAAGAATTGGCGAACATCCTACCCATGGCTCGAAATCGTCGAAACTTAAAAGGGGATCGCAAACTGTTTTGTTCACTGTGTAAAATGCAAAGAAACATAATGTTATGGCTACTACTGGATCGGGTGATGTACACTACAAACATAAATCTGCAATTCTGTCAAGCTTGAAACGTTCATGGACACGTCTTCTAGTGAATTAAATGAAACTGAAAGTCATGACGACAATGATTACGAAGTTATACAAGAGTAGCAATGTTGTGGTGCATATATGAAAAGAAACACAAGATTACTGATACTCCATTAAATTCCATTCGAACTCTAAATGTTCTCTTAGGTGTTTCTTACACCTATATTGAAAAAAATAAGGACTATGTACTCTTGATGTTGAAAAATTATCTGGAGTCCTGAATGTAACATGAGAGGATGGACAGTCGGCTAACCACATAGCCATATACTGACTGACTCTCTGAGTGGTGATGAAAAATTACATATAACTTAAACTCACATTGACAATTATATGGTGATCTGAAATCCATTTGGCTGCTGGCTTGGTCATATTGAAAACTAGTTTTGAACTTCATAAGCAAATCAGTTTTTGTTTTTGTTTGGGACATGCAAGCATGCCAAGATAAAAAAAATCATTTGTCCGATGTTAACAAACATACACAGATATCATTTCAAAAGGATAATCAAAATAGACTCATATTCAGAGGCACTGAAATTCAGAAACCTGAACTGTTAACATAATGATGTTACTGTTCAGAGACCATTTAAAATGAAACTTGTGTTTTGGGGAAAAAATATGGACTGAAGGGGATAAAACTCTACCGTAGTCCTGTTTTATACACATGTATACATATATTTATATAGTCCTGGGTCTAATATTTTTTGGTAATTAAAGTTTCATGCTGAAGTACAATAAAATGTGCTGTCTGAAGTAAACTTACCTTCCAACAGTCATCTTCAGTTGGCTCATTTTGTAATCCTGAAGGAAACTTGAATAGAAAACCATGAATTACGATACATGATTTCCCTTTCTGCCTTTGAAATGATGTGACAGCCACTTCACCAGGTTGTAAGCCATTAGGGTACTTCTCTTTACACTCTCTTTGCAGTTGACCCTTTGAGGCAGCATTTAATGCTCTTGATACTACTCCATATGCTAGATCCAGCATGTGATGAGCAGAGTTGACCAACACATCCGCCTCATGAAAATAAATGAATATATATATATAGTTTGTATAGTCAGTACATGGAAGGCGTGATAATTTCTTCAATAATTGCCATCAAGGTGCTGAAATTACTGCTGTAAAACTGCTGACATTATTTTTTACAAGTTCATATATTGAGAACAATGGACCAATGCATAATGTCTTTTCAAAAAAATAAGATCAAATAACTTGAGAAAACTATGGTGTAGTTTACTATCAATAGGCACAAACATGCCTGATTTCATCTTCCTATATTTTCAGACTCTGCACTGAACATTGAAAGAAAAGAAGGTAAAATACAAATTCCAAATGAATATACTAGGGAGTAACCAAGTTTCTTTGAGAAGAAATATCTACCTTCAAAATCTAAACACTGAGTACTGTATATCTTCAGATGTATGGAGAAACTGTTGTGTATACATGTTGATAAGCTCAGAATATCTATTGGAACATTTAGGGATGATGGGGAGAAAACCAGTCCTACTTCAAGCAAAGTTTAGCAAGTAGGGCTAGATAACATTCATACCTCTACATTTTCCAGTTTCCCAACAACAATTTCAATTGATGTCTTGGATTGTTCAACATTTTTTCCTGAAATATGAAAACATATTCTGTTTACAATATATGTAGCTCTTACAAATCCAGCAGTTTAAAATGCTAGCCATTTCAGAGCTAAAGAGTAAGAAATAATGACACACTTGTGCTCACTAATGTTCACTGACATAAATATTTTAATGAAATAAAGTGGAATGGATTTGGAAAAGTTTAAGTAAACAATAATTGGAACATGATCAACAATAAAAATAATTCTGAGAATACTACCTCTAACACTTGATTGCCTTTTTTCCTGAAACTTGTTTCTGAATCCACAGATTCAGCTTGAGCAAGTCCATGATTTTGTGTTGATTTTTTTCCTAGCGGTCCTTCAAGTGCTATCTGCAGGGGTTAACCCCCCTAATGGAAACTCTGGGAAACCTCATACTTTCTTCTTGGGGAAGGTACTCTGAGATTTCTGGCATAGGATGGGTTGGCCTTTACCTCAAGTGTTAGAGGTAGTATTCCAAGAATTATTATCATAGTTGATAATGTTCCAAAATCCTTATGAATACATTTCTCAATAATTTGATTGCTGAATCCCAGATAGGCAATGCCTAGAGTACCCTCCCTCTAGGTGCAATAGGAAGACATCCATAAAACTCACAAATCTAAATGTCTACTACTAACACAAACTGACGTCACTGACTATGACGTCACTTCCGGTTTATAATGATTCAAATCTGAGGACCTGCATCCAATTTTAATATAAGTCCATTTGAGGCATTAGACTCACTAAATGCAGTAAGAAATGTTTTCAACCATAGTTAAATAATTAACTCACCCTCAGTCAACTTCTTTAAATGGCAGTATTTAGAAGTTGGAAAGTAACTTACGGACAAACTTTATGGATGAACAACTTCTCTATTCAGGTGAGGGGACGTTTTGATACAGATTCTTGTATCGTTGTCAAGCAAGTATGAGTTGCTCAAGTAGTTGTTAAATTAATGTGTAACGTCATAGTCTGTGAATCTCTATTGGGCAAATAATCTCTATCCCCTCCCTCCTTCTTTGTCCCAGATGACACATGAAGGTCCGGATTAGAATATTGATCTTCAGTAACCCAATGCTTGTCGTAAGATGCGACTAACGGGATTGGGTGGCCAGGCTCGCTGACTTGGTTGACACATGTCATCGGTTCCCAATTGCGCAGGTCGATGCTCATGCTGTTGATCACTGGATTGTCTGGTCCACACTCGATTATTTATAGACCGCTGCCATATAGCTGGAATATTGCTGAGTGCGGCATAAAACTATACTCACTCACTCACTTTAACCCAGATCTCCTGCCAAAGTGCAAGTTCGCTTTATAGTTTTGTTAATCCAGGCTGCCAGTGTGAAATGTCTTTCTCTTACTGATCTTGAACCATGCCCGGTAGGTCATGATCAAAACTAATGGCATGAGGTCCGATCGATGACTTTAGATTCTCTGAGAAGAACTCCTGCAGTGCTCTCATTGCCACTCTAGACGGATCATTAAAAAATGAGTGTACGTCCAAGGCATGCAGTTCTGAAATCCTTGAAGACATTAGCCAATACCATTAGGAAATCAGGCTTCCATGGAAGAAGTGACATGGATGGGGCTTTTCTTCCCAGAGGTTCAAAAGGAGGACACAATAATCCTGATAATACCACTGATAAATAATATTTTGTAGTTATTTATTGTCTTAGGATATCCTCTAGTTCAAAAGATAGTGACATACATTAAGAACCAGATCCTTTCCAATATGAATTGTTTGCATAGAGATGCTGAAAATGCCAAAGCTAAGTCTTCTGCGGTGCCATGCAAAAGATCTAGATCTTTCCTAAGATATAGTAGAAAGTCTGCAATAATCAGAACTATTTTGGAGTTATTGGCCGTTCCAGATCTGACTCTTCACTGCAGCTCCACTTTAAGTCATTTAAGGCAGCAATGGTTAATACAGAAGCAGGAAGAGGAGATCTGGAACCTATGAGCATGTCGTCCATGCTGCTGCCACTAGTTACAGTGTCATTTGATGATTCCTCATCTTGGACTAGGATTGGTGGGATTAGCATTGTGGGTGGAAATGTGTATCCAATCATGACTTCCTAAGAAGTCATAAGGGTATCCACTGCATAAGCTTAAGGATCTGGAACTGGGCTGATATAACTTGTTGACTGGTTGTTGAGCAACATTGCAAACAGAACTATGTGAAGTTGCTTCTACTTGATCGCTAAAGGCATCCATTTCGTAGATCCAGGTGAGATAGAATGTCTGTGCAGAACTTCCAGTGGATGTGTCTGGCCATGATGTTGTAATCCTTTATATTGTAGAGTTCCTTTGGAAACGCCATGGAGAGTGTATTTCCCAGAACCTATGGATGTAAGCTACTACCAAGTGCTGAATAGTTATGAGAACTGCCCTCATCTTCCGAATGTTGATGTGGACTGGAGAATCTAATACCCACAGACCCAGCAGACTATTTCATCAAAATCAAAATTCCTTAATGGATAGATGTTAGGTTATTTTCACTTCGAAATCCCTTGTCAGGGGAAGTCTATTTGGCTGGTCCTTTACCTGAAGGGAAGAATGGCCAAAAGGTCTGGATGCTATAGTGAAATAATCCCTCATTCAAATCCTTGATGATATTAGACTGAAAAGATGACTGAGATTACTTGTGCTTTGCTCTGCTGTTGAAGAGAGGAGCCTCTGGCAGCTGAATTCCACATAAGGTCCTCAAGATCAGGTTGAGCAGCATTGAATCCAGAAGTAGGACAAGTTAACATATCTTCAAATGTGTGTCTGGCAGATGTGGTCTGAGGATTCCATTCCTGTTCCTCTGCATCATCTATAAAATGCTCTGTATAACTGTGAGCAGATTGTGTATACATAGTCATATCTTGAGATGTAGGGCTTGTGGTATCTCTGTCCCTACAACCATGCTCATATGCTGTGTACAGCAGGATAAGCCAACATGGTCCATGATTTCTACTTGATGTCCACACCTTGCCCCTCAGGGTATACATTAGCAGCAGCGGGTGTAGTCCATGTCTTCGTCCGTAGCCTGGCTCTTTTATGAGGTGGGGGAAGATAACTGACGTAGCTCCGACCTCTAGGTAGCGCTGACGTTTTACCTCCAATGAAGTGTCATACTTCAAGCTATCTTAAAAAGAGTTAGAAGCATCAGGCTTCTTCAGTAACAAACTTTGGTTTAACTGACAGTTGGCTCATTGGATGGGACATGCGAGGATCAGATATCACCAAGTCTGAGTGATTATCTGTGATCATCTTGGCACCTGTAGGCAACTTGACTGGGTTCCTGGAGTGCATTTATTATGCATCTTTCTTGCTTCATTTTTTTAACGACAAGAGCATACTTCTTGAAAGCTGATGCAGATTAGGGCTGATAATATTCACAAAGGGAGACAAAAGAGCAAGAAGTGTCAACACACTCCCAGCAATCTCTATAAGGATAGTGAGGTGACTTTACTTTCCCCAATGGCTGATAAACTTTTAGTACCCGACAGGGAGGATGAAATGTATTTTTGAGCCTTTAGATTTTCCCATCCAAACAAATATCAGAAAACAAGCATGTGTGCCACAAGAAAAATCATTAGCAGTGTATGAAATAAGGCCCGTCCGACTGCTCGAGACGGTCTAGATTTCTGACAGACGGTCTAAATTTACAGCTAGAAAGCCCGATGGTCTGGTAAATTTTTCAGGTGTGCCATACATCTCAGTCAATTCACCATATATGGTCTGGCTAAATCCATTTGGGGCTTGAAACATTTTGAAGTTACTGGCCCTGATGTTTGGCTGGACTTTTGGCTTACTTATACACTGTTATTAGGCTTGACGACACCTGCTCTTCTGTTTGGAGAGATAACTCCTGTGGATAGCACTTGAAGGAACTCTATGAATATGTGATTCTATGAATAGTGACAACACAAAACCATGGACTTTAAATTTTTTAGAAATACAGAACCTGTAGATTCATGAATAAATTTAGTGGAAATTGTCAATCAAGGGTTAGAGCAATGTATCCGTAAAATTTCCCATCTTGTCTATTTAAACAGGTATCATGAGCCATTTTAACTTTATCAAATCAGATGAAAAACTGACCTCACCTATATCAACCAATGTTGATTTGTTATCCATCATGTTGTCCAATGAAGTGTTATACTTCAAGCTGTCTTAAAAAAGACGCCCCAAAGATCAGAACATAAAGTTGTAGGCAATAATGACAAAAGCCCAACAATCTCTCTGAGAATTTAGTGTAACACATTATGGGACAAGTAAAATGTACTACCCATCAAAAGTTTAGACTCACTTAAAGAGCTCACTATATGTTATGTATTTATATATGGTTACATCGACGATGAATTTCTCCACTAACTTAGGGGAACCAAGTGCAAAAACCTTATGCAGATGAATTGCACGAGGATTATGCGTCAAATTGCTGAAAAGCATGTGCAAATATCGTGCATGTGAACAGCTGTGTTCTGGTTTGAAGTTTTGTTAAGAATTTGCCAATTTTCACTGATTTTCATCATTTACAAAGTCATGAGAATAATCTTTTCAACATTACGAAAGAATTTTACAATACATCAGTTCACGTGTAAAAGTACCTTTAAACAGTATGGACTGTTTTGCAAAATCTTGTATAGAACAGTTGACTGAAGTAAGTGCCTACATTTAGACTAGTGAGTCTAAACATTTGATGGGTAGTATACATGGCCAGCGCGCCTAAGAACTGTTGTGTGTCAACCATGTATCAGAGTTTTGTTGATAAAACACTTGCAAAAGAAAGATGTTGACAAGTTGGTTTCAGTACATCGGTCATAAATGATGTGAAATAGTTGATTATTGGGTAGTCAGAACTAGTACTTCCGCAACAGAGATATCCTTCAGGTAAACAATCCCAGCAGATGCTGCCAGTTTTGGACTTATGTCCTTACTGAGAGCCATCTGAATAATTGATTGCATGTTCAGTTATATGACTACTGGATTCATTAGGAGGACATTACTGATATTGAACAGGCCTTTCAACTCAAGGCTTCTTACTGGTTCATTGTGTGAGATCATTCCATGTGATCTCTCGACACCTGAAGGTATAGGTCAGTGGAAGATGCTGATATATGCAGGGCTCGATTTAAAAGATGTTAACCTACTTGCACCAGGTGTAACCCAGATAAAAACCTAGTTGCACCAGCCAAATTCCAGGTGCACTGCTTCTATTGCAATATGTAATGAAAGAAATACGCTATTGAATTATTTAGATTATTTAGTCAGAAGTTTACCCACTCACAAATTGAGTTGCACCTGGTGCAAGTTAGACTAACAACTACGTTGCACTTTGTAATATTGGGTTGCACCAGTGCAAGTAACAAAGCACTAAATCGAGCCCTGATATGTCAAGAGGATACATAGTCTTTGATCCAGGAAAATGGTAATAACCATATATCATAGCTCACATCAGATGAAGGTGTTGTCTCTGATACATGTTTGAGTCTGACTCAGAAATGTTGGGACACCTGGGAACTGCATGGTGAACATGTGAGCTGGTCCCCAGGTGGAAACCAGTCCTAAAGTAGGTTAGTACAGCACAGATCCTTAGCTAGGTACCAATCCCTCGAAGAACATTGATTTGCAACAAATCCTTGGGTCCATGATTTAGCACAGTCCTGGGACACTAACATCAAATCTGTCTTTCTGGGCAAAAAGAACCGCACCTGTCCTGGACAGGGAACGTCACTCACATCATGATTGTCACAAAATGGCAAGATGTTGAGGTAAACACTTGTCCTCGATAACAGAAGATGAGCTATGCTAGATATACCAGTAAATGAAAAAATCTTAGTACCCATGTATTGAGAAATGGTAAGAGGGATCAATTACAGATAACTCAGATGTAAGAGCAAACAAGCATGCCAGATGCAGAAGAGGCATGTTTCCATATTATATTATTGGAGAGAAAAGGGAAATAGGAATATGTTGTGTTCGGAGGAAGAAATATATTTACCTTTTCCTGGAAATTTCTTCTTTGATTTCTTGACCTGACCTGACAGACTGATTTGTTTGGATTCAGGGCATGCTCTTTTAAGGGTTTTCACAACTTCTGAAGACATTGTTTCATCAGCTAGTAGTTGTACATCGATGCAATTTACACATTCTTCAAAGGCATCCTGAGACCCATGAATGATAGCCTTCACACCTACTGCAAACAATCCTTTCTGGTTTAACGTTTCAACGACAAATACACAAGCACTGTTCCTTGGAGTCTGGCTTCTCCTTGCTTCTTGTGTGATGATGTGCTGGACTGTCTTCCTCACTGATTCTTTTTCTTTATCTTTACCCTCTTTCAGGGTTACTGGCACGAAAAAGAATACAACTCTCTTGGTTTTTAACCAGCTCAAGCCATAATTGTCACATTGAATCATTAGTGACTGATCTTTTGTCTGATTTAAGCTCTGAATTCTCTTCTTCAAGGATTCATCTGCAAACAAATATGTTATTGAGGCCTTTGATACATTATTTGAAACAGTCAAATTATACAAGTTTTCAAAGGCAAAAATTATTACTTCACAAATTCAAGTTTCTGCTTGACTGTGATATTCTAAAAACAATTTAGCTAAATGGTTTTGTAGCTTTCTTAAGTGTTTTATGAATGCTTTCATCATTAGATAATAACAATTTTTAAAGAGTAAACAATTATTCCTTTAATAAAACAGCAAATATATATATACAGCACTCTGTCTAATTCGGACTAGCTTGGGACCGACTAAAAAGTCTGAACTAGACAGCAGTCCGAGGTACACAGATTTTAATGGAGTTATCTCCCTTTGACGAGCATACGACTGGGCATGAAACACATATTGCATGAATGAGATTTTAATGGAGTTATCTCCCTTTGACGAGCATACGACTGGGCATGAAACACATATTGCATGAATGTGTATAAAGACGAAACACTTACTGACAAAGTACAAATTTGTGTTAATCGCATCAAAGGTAAATAAGCGTTCACCGCTAGACCATGCGATCTTGGCCCAGCGGACTTCCTGCTTAGTAAATAAGACAACATACACAAACCAATCAACAGATTGTTTATTCAAGGTTTATTGGCCAAGCAGACTTCCTGCTCAGTCCGGATTATATAACAATGGTTTTACGTGTAACTTCCTTTTCGGAATGACACTTTAGTCCGAAATGCAAAATAATGAGAGTCCCAGATACAAAACTTTTTCATTATGACAACAAAGAAGGATTACGTCGGGACCGTGAGTTCAGTCCTGTTTATACAGCAATCCGAGAAAGACAGAGTCCAAGTTTGACAGAGTGCACTGTATAGACAATGCATTTTTAAAAATGGTCAAATGCAACATATTGTTTTATTTGGGATTACAAGTTCTCCGTGAAGTATAGATTTAAGTACCTTTTGGGGGGTTGGATACATTCCAAGACTTCATTCAATATTGTTTACAATTATTTGGGGAAAATTAGGTGTGGAGTGATTGCCATTTCACACTACCTCCAGTTAATGACAGCAAGCACGATCTATCAGTTTACTGCTCTACTGATGTAGCAAATGAACTTTACGAAATGGATACATATATCATTCATGCAATAGTCTGTTTCTTTAATAATTATATTTGTTACAGTGTAACTATTATATGTTAACATATTGGGTTTTTTTCCGAAATGAAAAAGCCGAGCTGCATGAAGCTTCAGTGATATACTAAATTGTTACTCTTCTGACTGCTATCATTTTAAATATCATATGTGAAATGAATAACTAACATATGTTTTAATATGATACTTTAAAACATTATTCCCACTAAAATTACATCAGATAACAGATTCAGACATCACAAAGGGAAGTGATGTAACCATGGTCACATGTACATGCATGATAGAAAAAGTGCATGACATTTATAAACTTTGAAGATTTAAAGTTTAAGAATTTGCAAGGAACGATTATATGAACATTCAGTCAAAATTTGAAAACAAAATGTCCAGTGATTTCTGAGTAAATGAAATTGGCATGAAGGCTCTTTTTCTTTTACAAAATGCATTACTGTGGAAACTAAGTTTCTGAAGTGAAAACGTTTACATCATTGTGTCTAGGGTGTGTAAATTTGAAACATAATTCATATTGCCTAAAATAAGCACTCATGATATTCTGCTGAAACTGATTCCAATGGACATAAAAGGCCAAATAGTAATAAAATGTGAAGTGAATGGATCACTGAAAAACAAGGTGTTCACCTTTGTGAAAATATAAAAATGGCCTCATGGGTGAAGAACCATCATGTAAATATTAACCAAACTAACTTTATCCCTAAATATCAGAAGGTTCACTGTCTTATTCTCTTTTGCAAAGATAAACTCTTTTTGGAAAACAGGTTGACAGATACAGCCTTATGAGTTCAAGTGAACTGAAAACAGATTGAAGATCTGTTTGAAATCTTACCTTTTTTCAGAGATGAAAATGCTGATGGGACCTCCCCTCCAACAACAGGCACAGCTAGAATATCAGCATACAGATTATCCATACTGCCCTGGATGACAGTGATCATACATTTACCCTTTGAGAGCCACTGAGACAGTCTGATACAGTCACTTGTTTGTTCCAGGTGCAACTCAGCAAGATAGTCTTTAATTGCCACCTCAGAGGCTTCATTTTCACATGTTTCATGCTCTTCAATTGTTACTACACATTCAGAATTTTTCTGTATGTCTTTTATCAGTTCTTGTCCTTCATCAGTCTGGAATTTTTCAATATCATCAGACAAGGGGAATTCTTCAATATGTAGCTTTCCTATGAACTCTTCAATTATTGCCCTAGCTTCAATGGCCTGTTCCTTTTGGCCCATAATTTGAAGACCTTGCTCAGAACAGTACTCTGTTCTAACATCTTTAGGTATTTCTGGGAATACCTCTGGAAATGTCTTGATATGACCCCATTTTTTGCTTGATAGAGGTAGAAGGAGTGTTGTATTAGAATAGGTCTTAATGAGTTCATGAAGTTCAGCAAAAACAACATCCTGGACATCATCCGTACAAATTATGTTCAAGCACTGCTTCTGATCATCAACTCTGATCAGAAGTTTACCATGATGTAGTGACTCTTGAACATCTAACATGTGTTTTATCTCAGAAAGGGGCACATTTTCAACAACAGGTTCACCTGACAGGTCAACTTTCTTCTCTTTTAAGCAGCCAGATACATATTTTATGCATGTATCAAGTAAGGTATATTTTACACCATAGACCTTTAGAGATTTTCTTTTTCTGTTGATATCAAACTGAAATGATTCCACTTTCTCATCAATATAATTGATCACCTCAGGCTTCTGTATGAATTCAAACTGTATCTCTGTCAGTTCCAGTTCTTTGTTTGGCAGCTTCTTCGCAACATTCCCCTCACGCTTTTTCCAATGGAGCACCTGTTCTACCTTTTTCTTTACCAACGTCAAGTAGTCACCAGCTGCCACAACGTGTAGTTTTCCATTCTCTTCATATAATCTAAACTTGCCCTTTAAGACAGGTTCATTATAAGACAATTCGTCTTCCAGCTGTTGAACACTTATCATTTTGCCATCCCCTTTCATCAATTCTTGTACTGGTTCCCACTTTAAATGGCAGCTTGTATACTGTTCCGGTTGCAGTGAACAGTTTCTCTTTCTCTCTGTTGCAGGTAGATTACCCAAATCATCCTGTAATTGCATTGTTTGTGTGTATTGCTCCTCAAGCTTTTTGACTTCACAATTGACATCATTTCTGCAAGACTTTTCAGCTACAATGATTAAACAACCACTGTGAGCTCTGTGAGCTGTTGCCTTTCTTGACAGATATAAATCAGTTTTGGTCCAGTTCCTGACAATGAACTTCTGTTTCTCATCTTCCGGGATGGTTACCAGAAAGTATTTGTCAGTAGCTTCCTCCAGGATTTGATGAATGGTTTTGCACTGAGACAGGAAACAGATATTACTCACTCTGCACACTCCCATATATGTTAATACAATATTGTCTTGACAGATTTCTTTCATGTTATAGTTAAATGATTTCAGTTTTGACTCTATATTTCCACATCGTTTCAAATGAAACCAAACAGAAAGCCCAATGTCTTCAATTCTATCTTCATAGAGGGAGCCATCACTTCCCTTTGCATGGATAGTGATTTTACAAGCATCATCTTGTACTGTTTCCTCACTACCTGAAAAGACAAAACATACCTATGAAACATTTCCAGCAAAACTTCTAAAATGAAAAGTTTAGAATTATCAACATATGTATAAACCTAAAGGGGTATTAAGACTGACCGTGTTTACTATTGTACACCACTGCCAAAATCACCCCTCTTAGGTGCATGGAGGATGCAAACTACAGTAGAACATGGATATAGCAAAAACGGATATAGCGTACACACGGATATAGCGAACAAACTTAAAAGTCCCATCAATAGTCCTTTATAATATTAAAATTATACGCAAATAACGAACTCATCAGTAGCAAATTAACGGCTATAGCGAACTGATTTACTACCCCCAAGACCCAATTAATGACGTGATTAGCGAACTCATTCAGTGTCAGCTCAGCCACTTAGCAGTATACATCAACCTTGTTGGCGGCGAATCAACATTGTTTGATGGTCATTAATTAATTAACAAACAAACATGTCGCGTTTAAAAGCTTGACTGGTATACAGGTCTTCGTTCACTCTCTATCACTTTTGACACCAATCTTCAGATAATTGAGGCTGTAGATTCAGGTGTAAAATCTAAGACAAACTTCGCTTACGACTTTGGAATTCCAAAATCCACTCTCAGTTCCATTATTGAGAATCGCCAATCTATTCTTTCAAAATCTGTGTCTACTGATTTTGGCCCCGCCTGCCTGCAAAAAGTTAAGAGCTGCCAATCACCAAGATGTAGAAGATGCTGTCTACAAATGGTTTCAAGGGGCTAGAAGTGAGAACATTCCCTTAAATGGTCCCATGTTGCAGATTGTTAAACATGTTCTAGCTAATGTCTGTGAATGATAAATTCAGAATTTTAATGTTATGTCAATGTACATGTACAAGAATAAAGATTTGTAGCCTCAGCATATGCATGTCTCTACATCTCTACAATCCAAGATGGCAGTCAAATGTGAATAACGAACAACGGACATAGCGAACTAAATTTCTTGGTCCCTTGGAGTTCGTTATATCCGTGTTCTACTGTTCATTTATGTTCATTAGTTCAACACCTGTACCCATTTCTGGTGTCCCCTCGCCATGATGTTGCTGGAATATTGCTAAAAGCGGCATAAAGCCAAACTCAGTCAGTCAGTCAACACCTGTGTACAACTACTGACCAATATGTGTGCAGTGTAGGGATGGGTTTCTGTTGTATTTGGCAAACAGATGACATGAATAGTCGATAAAACATGCAATGTCAAGTGAATCTGCAGCAGACCTGTGTACACAAGACCATAAACACAAGGTTCACCCTTTCTTCATTACTGTTAGGCTGCCAGAATAAATGTGTACATTTTCCCACTATATTCCACTCTAGCCATTTTTAACTGCTGACAGTAGAGCAAAAGTGAATTTATGTAAGAGTGCATTGCTACGAGTCAACAAGATTGTTACAGATTGGTCAATGTTTGCAATAAATCAAGAGTTTGTGAAATGCAGAAATTTTCATATCACCTTGGGGCTCTCTCATTCCCAGCGAATACAAACATTTCCAATGATCAAAGTCAAACTTTTCAAGTGAGTGAGTTTAGTTTTACGCCGCACTCAGCAATATTCCAGCTATATGGTGGCAGTCTGTAAATAATCAAGTCTGCGTAATCGGGAACCGATGACATGTGTCAAGTCAGCGAGTCTGACCATCCGATCCCGTTAGTCCTCTCAAGCATAGTTGCCTTTTGTGGCAAGCATGGGTTGCTGAAGACCTATTCTACCCTGGATCTTCACGGGTCTCAAACTTTTCAAGACAACATAAAATTATTGAACATTCCTAAACACCACATGGCCCCTGGTTAGTACATGTTCCATGTTTGGATGAAAAATATTAAATAGGTTTTCAGTTCTTCTCTCAAAAAAAATAATAAATCTTTCCATGCAAATCTAGAAAAGTAAGAGAGTGTTGAGAGCTGTATGTTTTGATAATTTTGTTAGAGCTTGGAATTAATCATTGATCATGTGGATTGATGAATGAACTGATGCATGCAACTGCTCTGAAAGAAACAACCAAAGACTTTGCAAAGTCATAGATCTGCAATATAGAACAAGTTTTATGGATAACAACTTCTTTATTTCGTGAGTGTGACGTTTCGATACAGATTCTTGTACCGTTGTCAAGCAAGAGTGATACATGAAGTGTAGGAGGTGTGTATATATACTGTATATAACAATGAAACAACATAATAGACAAAGGAAACAACATAATTGCCATGATTGGCTAAGCAGTAAGCTGAAGAAGCCAGTGAGTACACAAAGGATAGTGAATGGAAGCCAGAGATGTAGTTACAACGAGATGTTTATACAATAGATGCGATGTTTATACAATAGATTGGGCTTGGTGGAGGAGTGGATCATAGGCTGATGGAATGAAGTATCCTTGGTCACGGTTGATGGTGGGCTTGTGGCGTTTGATGTGAATGGCTTCTGTGAGCTTGCGTTTAGTGAAGTCCGTTTGGTTGTTGGCGAGAATGGTGATGTCGGACCACTCTATTTGATGATTGGGGTTAGCTTTGATGTGGTCAGAGATAGCTGACTTGGTGTCGGAATTAGCAACAGAGGTGCGATGTTCTTTGACTCGGGTGTTGATGGTTCAGGATGTTTCACCTATGTAGCATTGTCCACAATCACAGTTTATTTTGTAAATAACACATTTCGGGTTGTTGTTGTTGACGGTGGGTTGTTTTCTTCCGTTGGCATGGAGGAGGTTGTTGAGGCTGGAGGACGCTGAGAAGGTTGTGTCTATGCCTGCCTTTTGTTTCAGGAGTCGGCTGATTTGGTGTGATGGTTTACCAATGTAGGGAATGGATATCTTGATTGGGGCTGATTCTGGTTTAGATCTTTTGGCAGGAGGTGAAAGCGTTGCTTCGATGGTTCTGTTGACTATTTCAGGTGGGTAGTGGTTGCGTTCTACAAAGACTTTCCTCAGGTGTTCAATTTCTTCCTGTAGGTTTGTTGAGCAGATGTTTTTGGCTCTTCTGGTCAATGTAGAGATGACGCCGGTCTTGACTTTAGGGGGGTGGTTGGAGCTGTAGTGGATGTATTGATCCGTATGAGTCAGCTATCTCTGACCACATCAAAGCTAACCCCAATCATCAAATAGAGTGGTCCGACATCACCATTCTCGCCAACAACCAAACGGTCTTCACTAAACGCAAGCTCACAGAAGCCATTCACATCAAACGCCACAAGCCCACCATCAACCGTGACCAAGGATACTTCATTCCATCAGCCTATGATCCACTCCTCCACCAAGCCCAATCTATTGTATAAACATCGCATCTATTGTATAAACATCTCGTTGTAACTACATCTCTGGCTTCCATTCACTATCCTTTGTGTACTCACTGGCTCCTTCAGCTTACTGCTTAGCCAATCATGGCAATTATGTTGTTTCCTTTGTCTATTATGTTGTTTCATTGTTATATAGTATATATACACACCTCCTACACTTCATGTATCACTCTTGCTTGACAACGGTACAAGAATCTGTATAGAAACGTCGCACTCACGAAATAAAGAAGTTGTTATCCATAAAACTTGTTCTATATTGTACGTCTCAACTTCTAAAATGCCACTCAAACAAGTCATAGATCTGATGTGGGTAGAACGAATAATATTGTGCATCCCTCTGGGTGCAGTGTATTTTATTCTGCGGCCATTCTATTCATTTGTGTGTCACATAAACCCTAAGAATGCCCAATATCTGTAATTAGCAAAGGCTATGACAGGTTTTATTTTATATATCTTCCTAGGTTTTGTTCAGAAATACTGCCATAGTGTGCTCCAGAAACAAAATGATTATGGACATACTGATGGAGGGACAATATGTTATATTTTTCTTATTATAGGATATTTATATAGCGCATATATCCATGCACCTAGTATATGCTCAATATATGCTGAGGGATAAAAATGAATATGAAGATGGATGGACAGACAGACAAGCTGATAACCAAATCCCTCCAAATCAAACTTCAACATGACCAGAAATGGTGAGCTATTCAGCACAATTGGAACACTGAGATCACTGTTAAAGTGTTCAGTTTTTCATTCTTGTTTATCCATGTAGCTACATCAGGGAAAACAAGAAGACAAAGTCATCAATATCCCCCGCAACGGCAAAATAATCTCTATGAATTTGTCTACCAGTTATGATAATGTCAAATGTTTTGGAGTGTATACAGAAATGTGGAAGGAGAGTATTGAAAGGTTTTTAAGATCTGCTCCAGAAAGGAGCACCACCACCAAATTCAGTTGAAGCCTAACTTATTGCCACGGCAATGCCACAAGATGACATCCTCATAGTTACAGTTCCCATGGAAACCACAAAAAATAAAATTCATATCTGGGGCTAACGCTCAAAAGGCACATCTAGGGATGATGCTTGATATGTGTACCAAGTTTGATGAAGCTAGCATGTATAGTTTAGGAGATCTGCTCCAGACAAGATGACATCCTCAAAGCCACAGGCTAAGTCACAATTCCATGGAAACCACAAAAAATAAAATTCATATCTGAGTCTAAACCCCAAAAGTCACATCTATGGATCATGCGTGACATATGTACCACGTTTGAAAAAGCTAGCATGTATAGTTTGGGAGATCTGCTCCGGACAAGATGACTTCCTCATAGTCACGGCGTAAGTCATGTTTCCATGAAAACAGCAATCAATAAAATTCATATCTGGGTCTTACCCTCAAAAGGCACATCTAGGGATGATGCCTGATATGTGTACCAAGTTTGATGAAGCTAGCACATATAGTTTAGGAGATCTCCTCCGGACGAGATGACATCCTCATAGCCACAGCCTGTCACGTTTCCATGGAAACCACAAAAAAATAAAATTCATATCTTGGTCTAACCCCCAAAAGGCACATCTAGGGAACATGGTTGACATGTGTACCAAGTTTGGTTAAGCTATCACAAATAGTTTAGGAGATATGCTTCAGACAAAGTGTGGCGGACGTACAGACAGGCGGA